CATTGTTAAGGCTAAGGTACGTGTCTTTCGCTACTCTGGTTAATAATGTTAGGGATTGGATTGTATGTGTGTAGGTTATTAGTGCTAATAAAGGTGGATTGGTGGCTCTAGTAAACAAAGGTTTCCAAGTAAACAAGCCCCATCGTCTTGTTCTGTTATAAATACTCTCTTTTAGTTTGTCTAGTTTCTCTGTTTAAAAATGTGGTTTTGTAATTCTCTCTGAGACTTGGTGAACATGACGAGAAACAACAACAGATGAAGTCACTGCCAGGAGAAGTGAAAAAGATGGGGCATTAGCTCCACTTCTGAACAATTGACTTCGCTGGACCTGAAACAAGGAATGAATACTGTAAAATTTTACGTTCTACACCAATATTGTGGGTACTTTATCCTTTTTACTACAACAGCTCATGTTCTTCTGGCAGCTCAAGTTCAAGTGGGGGTTCTTCGTCTAGTGTAAAATGATCTTCACTTTCTTAGGCGTTATTTGGTTCTGTTATATGTGTTCTAACTGTTATCTTGTGTGCCTCTGTTATGTAGATTCAGGGACAAAGAGTTCATCTGGAAGTGATTAAGATGCTGATAGTGCGCAATCGCCATTTGTCGAAGCAAAAGAAGGCCAGTGATGATGTGTTTGGACGAATGGAGTGGAAGAGGTATTTAGATTCCTAGGATGATAATGAGTTTCCTTTCTCCTTTAAATTAAAGTTCTTTAGTTCTTTTTATTTTATTGGTGACAAGATGAACAGAGGTTGAGAGTGACCTAAGCAAAGATGAAGAGGATCATTTGGTGATGGGTTTGTTCCTGTTTGTCCATTTTGTTTGAGCGTTTGTACAAAGAATGAAGAAGGAATCTCTGTTAGTTTTCTTTATAGAAGCCTTAACTTGTATTACCACTCCCAGTGAACAAGCAAGTCAAAAGTTTAATTTTATTGGATGAAATTAGGAAATCTTAAAAGCAAGGTACGAGGATGACTCTATTCCATCAGTTTTAAAGAGAATATACATAGTAGTTTCAAGCAGAAGCAACCAAGAGTCTGTTGTGTCTGAGAAGAGGTTCTGGGGAAGGTTCTCGTCCTCTGAACTCCACAAACACCTGCTCAATATAACACCGGCACCACAACATTTGAGTAACTGGCTTGTATATATATACAAAAGTACAATGAGGAAGTTTTACTTGAAGAAGAACCTCCACCAATATTTGGATTATTGTTTACAGTGTTTCTTTGTTTCATTCTTTGTTTCAGTTTATAAAACTAACAAGAGTTTTACAAGTCCAAACTCTATTGGAGCTAGATTAAATGAATTACAAAGCTTTATAAATTATTTTATAAAAACTAATAATTAACTTATAGAATCCAGTATCTATTTTATAAAATTTTATAAATCAATTTATAAACCTTTATGAATTAATTTATACAGTCTTGTAAATTAAAATAAAATCAACCTTTATGAATTAATTTATACTTTCTTGAGGGAATACAATGCTACTATTTGTAGTTTGACTAGCAAGGTTTAGTGCAGTATATGAGGTGGAAGGTTGGTGTTTTGGTAGTGTAACATTCTGCTTGGTATATAATGAGATTCATTTTTTTTGTATGTCTGGTTTTGTGTATAATATCTAAAGAAGCAGTGGAGATGGAGCATGAGTTTGTTGAGTTAAGAAAGCATAATTTTTTTGAATCTTGATTTTGAAAGTGAGTGCTGATGTGTAGGAATAATAGGTGATTGGCTTGCGTTCAGATTTTGAAAATCGATGAGGTTGGTGAGCTTTTTGAAGAAGCAAGATAGACTCTGAACAAGAACATGGTTTGTGTAATCAAAGAATTACATATTTATAACGCTTTATAAATGTTGCAGAATTGGCTTCTTAATACATTCTTCTATCTCATCTTCTTCAGACATCTCTTAATTAGGATTGTCAAGTCCAAGGGCTCCGACCAGAATTGTAGATGGAGCTCTTAGGGAGGGTGAGCCGCTGATTCCACTTCCTTCATTTCAGATCTTGGTGCTTCTCACATTCCCTTCTCCATCCACAAGAGTTAAGGTAACTAGTAGTATTTATAAAACTAAACCTTGAAATGAGCTTGTTTGATTCTTATCACAAGCATGGTCTCTGTACAGTTTAGAAAGAGGGTTTGAGGCAATATATCCTTTGTTGAAGGACGTGGATCTTTCACCGGATATGCCTTTTTTGTTTTGATTATCTTTTGAGGGACTTTAGAAAAATTAACCAGTAAGACATTATAAATCAGTTGGTAACCGTTTATAAATCATTTATGAATTCCTTATACTCATTATGCCTAGCATTCCTCACAAGACTTCTCAAGTTCACACATTTATATGTTTTTATAGACATATGCGATCAACTCTTGTTTAAAAACTTCTTTATAAAGACTTATAAATCGTCGAGTTGTACTTTTAACAATATCATGAAATCCTGATTTATAAGGAATAATAATTCTGTAAAAATGTCATGTTCACTATCCGGAAATTTTAATCGTAACCAGAATTATTCAAATAACAAGTCTAATTAAGTCTTATTTGCTTTTTGGATGACAGAAGAAAGCAAATCCTAAAATTACTTGAACTATTGTTTAAAAACATCTTTATAAAGACTTACAAATCGTCGAGTTGTACTTTTGACAGTATCCTGAAATCCAGTTTTATATTTTATAAAGATCTAAAAAAAAATTAGAACAAATTTAACTTTTATTAATAAACTGTATGATAAATGTTGTAGAGAGAAACTCACACACATTCTAAGACTGAATTGAACAACATTTAAAGAGTTGACGGAAGTCGATTGTTTAGAACATACTCATAAATTATTTTATAAATTTTTTATAAACTCTTATAAATTGTTTGGAGAATCACCTTTTCAGAAGTAAGTTAAATTAAAATCTTCCTCTTGTGTGTTGCCATTCATAATAGTAAGTGTTAATGAGTTAAAGGTCATTCCATATTCTCAAAAGTTGGAACATTTCTACACTTCATTTTTTTAAAGTTGGAAACTTTCTACTTCCAAATCTTAGATGGCAGGTCGATGTTTCTTGAACTTGTACTCGTGTGTTGTTGAAGGGTCATTGCCTCTTCCATGGTCGATTCGGATGAGGATTGCTATCATCACATAATGTGATAACAGATTCAAAACTCATGAAATACCAAGTTTTTGCTCATTTCTAATATTTTATTAATTAATAAGGGTTTATAAATTTATTTATTAGAATTTATAAGTTTATTTATAAGGGGTTATAAATTGATTTATAATGGTTTATAAATGAATTTATAAATGTCTATAAACTAATTAATAAATTTTTCTAAACTGAAGTAGAATAAACTGACTTTTGTTCTGTGTTATAAAATAATTTATAAATAATTAGAAACTCTTATTTAATAGGTACAGTTTTATAAGAGTTGATAAATGATACAAACCCTTTTAAATTCTTACAAATGAAATACCAAGTTCGTTCCAAGAAAATCCAATCTGCAGAGGTTCCCAAATAAAAAGATGCGTCTCAGATTATATCTCCAAATGGCTGAACCAAGAAACAATACCTTAGTTCACCAACATATGCATTACTTCCATGTGAGAAATCATCAGCGTCAAGTGATATATTGTACTCAGTGTAAGCTTTGGTCCTGAACCTTCTTGCTGCCAGAAGAAACATTCCCTTATCAGTGAATGCTGGTGAAGAACAGTAACAAAATTAGACCTCGAGCAAGATCCTTTTGTTAGAATGCTAGTCGAATGAATATTAACCGTATATTTAAAAAAAAAAAGAATATTAACCAACATAATATAGAAAACTGCTTGAACTTGTTCCAAAACATCAAACATGTGCTTAATTATTAAATCAAACCATATGATTCTGAAAAGGATGCAATCAACTTTGACAAACACAAGTTGATTATGTCCTATATTTTTAAGACTACAAGGCAGAAGCTTTACAAGACTTAACCTTTATGATCTTTCTTTCTTCTGCTAAAATGCAACAGAGTAATGCAAAAAGAAGAGATTGAGGATGTAAGAAGAGAAGTGCATACAGAATGCATCACCTAACTGGTCAGACAAACATTGTGGAGCTTAAAGGAGCTTATGAGGATATGCATTCTGTGCATTTGGTCAGGGGGCTTTATGCAGCTGGATTTTCTTCCATAGGATTATCGCAACATTGAGAGCATGATCTGGGACCTTTGGTGTATGTCAAAGAGCATGCTTTGATATTCTAGAACAGTGTGTGAATAGGATGGTTTGGAACCGTATATGAGTCGAAGAACATTAGAAGTGGATTTCTAAACTCTTATCGATATATTTATAAACCCTTACAAATTTATTTATAAACTCTTATAAATAGATTTATAAACTCTTGTAAATTGTTTATAAAAATTATAAACTCTTACAAATGATTTTATAATCTCTTATTAGTTTTTGTTAACCTTTATAAAACACTTATTACTACCTATCTGATGGCAAAGAAGTTAAGGAAAACGGTGGAGGCAAGACTCTGGGTGCGTTAGAGAGTATAAAGAGACAGAAGTTAGCTCAGTTGAATAAATCTTGTATACAAATAATTATTAATTATTCACATGCCTTTATAAACCCTTATAAATTATCATACAAACCATTATAAATTGTTTTATCAACCTTTCTAAATGGTTATAGATCTTCTTTTAAATGATCTAGAAACCTTTTAATTATTTTCTAAAACCTATTATAACTTGTATACATATCCCTAATAAATTGAATATAAATTTTGTAACTTTATAAATTGATTTTATAAATGGTTTATAAACCTTTGAGAATAAAAACCCAAAACAAAGGGCCACATGAGAATAATAAATTGAATATAAATTTTGTAACTTTATAAATTTTTGTAACTTTATAAATTGAGTTTATAAATGGTTTATAAACCTTTGAGAATAAAAACGCAAAACAAAGCGCCACATATATTTTTTCAGAGTTGATCAATAATTAAATATTTCAAAAGAGAAGATGATTAGAAGTCGGAGAAAGAAATATCATGTGATAGGAGACAATTCAACACAAATGATAAAAGAGTGGTTGCACTCACCTGTCTACGTAAGGTCTCATTTTCCAGCTCTGCTCGCTGTTCCTGCAAAGTTTAAAATTTTAAAAGCTCTGGAGGATCAAACTTTGTAACTACGTCTCTATGTTATAGGGGTATATAACTAGTTAAGACAAATAAACTGCACACTCGCTAGTTACAATATGAACACAGTTCATCAGAGTCATGTGGTCACATAAACTTACATGAAGTGACCATATATTAGCAACTAAACATGAACATCAAGTGTTTCATATAAACTCAAGAGTTACCTTCAGCCGAGATTCCTCAAGTTGTTTAGTCAACATTAGTTCCTGAAATCCTATAACCTTTATCTGTTAAAAATACAAACATGTTTTATAAAAAAAATTGATATTACCTTTCGCTCTCTCACAGATACTGGGGAGAAATTTAGTTGCTTCTCAAGGTGTTGCAGCTCTTTCAAGCTCAGAGGATTCAAACGCTTACCCTGTAGTTGTCTTCAAACACACACAAAAGACAAAACGATATAATATAAGACACAAAAGTGGTGGATGGTTGGAGAAAAAAAAACGAACCAAGTGAGATTAGATAGGTTGCATAAAAGTGTTTTTCTTGAAGCTTTGAAATCTCATCCTTTAAAAGATCCAACACTGTACACTCCTCTTGGTTCTAAACAGAGTTTTGATGCATCAAGACAAAACAGTAAAAAACACTAGAGGTTGAGTCCACCATCGCATCAGATAGTTCACCACCTACTCATTATCATATTCAAAAAGGGTTTACTATTCATATCCAAAGCTTTCTTTGAGAAAAGTGTTTTGACTTGTTCATTTTTTACCTCAGGGACTTCATCGTGTGGGCAGTGACCCGCTGGGTTGATCTCATAGTATGGAGCGTTGGGCAATTCCTTCTTTATCTTCTTTCTCCATATTGGTCCCACCCATGGATCTTTTTTTCCATACATTAGACATATCTGAACATTGTTTTTCTTACACCTTGCAAAGACAGTCAAATAAGACCAAACATATAGAGGGAAAAACATATACAACAAGAGAACCATGCTGTCTTGTACCTAGATAAAGCTTCAGAGAAAGATAGCTCTCCACCAGGAGCAAACATGATTGACGCAAAGGAGGCAGAAGCAGCCGGGTGCTGCGTGATCTCCACAATACGTGAGAATAGTTTATCCACATCAGTGGAATGGTCTTTGTAGACCTGTTTAAGTATCTCAGTTATGTTTTCAGGATGACTTATCTTTTGCCACCTGAGATTCCATCAACATACAAGATATATTAGTCTTATTGAGCTAGAAGATGTGTTAATTAAGTATTACTTACACTAATTCAGTGAGTTTTTTAACTCTTGGCGGCAAAGGGAATGTTCCAGACCATGGAAAGAGACGTGCTAGCCGTGGGGACTTTACTGGATTAGAGAAGAAATCCCAAAAAGGCGTCGCATTAAGCAACGTAACACCTTTCACCAGATGAGGATGTGTTGCTGCAAAGTAGAGAGCTACAGACCCTCCAAGTGAGTTCCCTGCAATGTACACTGGCTCACCAATAACCTATAAAACAAATACCACATACTTTTAAGGACTCTGTAACTTAGAGTTTCCGATATTTTTGACAGATACTGTTTATACCTCTTCTACAATATACTAAACTTGTTCCCTCCAGAGGTCAAGGGAGAAAACGAGTTGATCAGCCCATGGTTGAGCGTCATCACCAAACCCCCAAAATGATTCATTATCTTCAGACATGGTAGTACTAGTAACAGTACTAGTAGTAGTAGTAGTAGTAGGATCTTTAGTGTGGAGAGATAGGCCCTGGCCAACAAAATCAACAGCCCAAACTCGATAATCCCTTCCCAAATCAGTAAGCTGCTTCTCATAGTGAAAAGAACCAACACCAAAGCCAGGAAGAAACAACACCGCAGGAGACTCCACGTTGGCACAACCAGATTTCTCATAATGAACAGTGAGGTTAGGCTTCCACTCGCACTGGGAAGTAGTGATTCGAGCAGCTTCACCGTTTGATTGGTCAGGCAAACAAGGAATCAAAAGTTTTAATTTTGAGTCTCCTCTTCTAGCTAAACTAGTCAAGTCATCACTCTCACCGACTACATAACCATATGAAGTTCCATTCGAATCACAAATCTTGATTTTTTTATCACACCATTAGGTAATAAAATGCAGGCTTTCCTGGATCTAACATCTTACACAGTTCACTAAAGATCGCCTGAGAAAAACAACAAAACGAACAATTCAGTGAAGAATCAATCCAATTTCAAGCAAGCCATGAGATTCATGATATATACAACTGATATCACTCAAATGTTTAACCCTAAGTGAATTACTCTCTCAAATAAGAGGTTCAGTTGTACTACTTAGGGATCGAATCCACAGGGAACTAAGGAATACAATAGATATAATCTAAATGATTATGCTAGGTTGAAAAGGTTTTAAAATAGTAAAATTGCAGTTTTGTAAGCAATGCTAAGTTGCTTAAGAGAATGGATTTAGGTTTGAAACAATAAAAGAAAGTAGTGAGATTCAAGGTTGCTATTCAGATAATCAGGATTATAATGCTATAGATGTTTTAATGAATTGCTTGCAAGATATATGAGAACTTTGATTCTTAGATAGATCTAATAGCAGTCGCTAAATAAACACATCCATTGATCTTATTGCCAGCAATATCGACCGATGTTTTGACAAGCGATATTGGACGATATGGGTTGTTGTCGATCGATGACTCTATAGGAGTATCGATCGATATAGCATAAGATCGAACCAAAACTGTGTTCCCAAGATCATAGACCGGCTCTCGCACAACCCTAGAGGATCTAAGCTCATGTCAAATGATTTCAGGACAATGATTAACAAGTTAAATCACATCCATGATCATACTCTAGGTAGCTACTCTAGAGTAAGCATTAGGGTTCATTTGGATAATGAATATCAACAATTCAACATTCGATAGTTGGGGCTAATCCCGCATAACTATTTGAACCCTAAATCTAACAAAGAAATCTACTCAGACATAGCTGAGAGATTCATAACAATTAGGTAATAATAGAAACTCATAGATAGAAGATTGAACTTTTGGTTTTTGGAACAACAAATGTCTTTGTGTGTTTCTTCTAAATCTAGAATTCTATAACCTTTAAGAAATTAAGATGAAAAGAAATACTTTATAGAATAGAACAAAGTAACAAGAAAAGTATGCAAAGCTTTTCAAGTACAAAAGGTATCAAAAAGCATAAAGAACATAAACAGCATGTCTTGCCAAACACAACGGTAAAACCTATAAATAAAAGTTCCATTAGGTTAAAAACTCGTCAGGGGCATTATTGTAATATTAGGAATACTTGGGATTCAAGTCGGCCAAGTTGAACTTGTTCTCCATGCATCATATCGATCGATGGTACATGGTGTACATCGATCGATGGAGTATCTCGACTTCATCTTCAATAGAAGCGTCATCGATCGATCACACAGAGTGTGTATCGATCGATATGTAACCTCATTGTCTGATCTTCATAGTCATCTCGGAAAACTCTCCTTTAAGCTCCAAAAGGGCACCTAAATCATCATTTTACTCCAAAGTGCTCCTGAACCTGAAAACATACCTAATAGACTCCAAAACATATATAAAACTCATAAAAACATATCAAAACCATGGCTAAAAGCGGGTCAAAATCATGGTATATCAACAACATCTATTGAAATCAAAGTTTGGGGACTAAGAAGGGAGAAGAGAGGATAATCGACGAAAAGAAACACCGGAGGCGGAGCCAATCCTCTCACCGCAGTCTCCACCTGCGGTTGTGTTGTGATTGTTTATCCCACCGTTGGAGAAAGCCCAGAGAAGAGAGCAAGGCTGGCTAGAGGAAGAGGAGACGAAAATCAGGGATATCATACTAGGACGGATGCGTGCCATCGCCGTCAACTCCGAGAGCGGATGCCTCGTCGGAGAGCCGCCATCTCTATTTCATGGAAGAGAAGATATCTCAGATTAATTAGGGTCAATTAAGTCATTTACCAATTAATGATATAAGTAATTATGAAAATATCCTTGTATTATAGTTGAAGTTGAATAGTGGTACTACTAAATGTGTAAAAATGAAATTCTCCCAAATCTTAACCTTAACCCCTAAACCACATATCTCATTTTAAGATATATTATAAAATATTAAATCTTGATTTTTATATAAATAATAATTCCGTAAATAAATTATAAATTCAAATACAGAATTCAGATTTTAAATTTTAAATTATGATATCAAATAATTTCAAGCTTAAAAAATTTGTATAGTAGTTATAAATAAATTAGAAGACTTATAGTTACAATAATTTCAGCCATTGATTGATTTGAATCTAAGGCCTAAAATCACTCTTGCATCTATCTTCACCCTTTTTCTATTGGTTTGGCTTTGGCATGGATCACCTTTTATACCCTTGGATGATATTAAATCAACGGTCGAGATTAACTATTATTTTAATTTATTTTTTCTTAATTGTTTTTTCAGGGATTGAACAGATCTCGTCACCTCCATCGGGGGATTAACTCCATATGCCCGGAAGAGGTAAAAGAGGTAGAGGGAGTGGAAAAGGTAGAGGGAGTGGAAGAGGGAGAGCCACATGGGAAGGGAGAGCGAGAGGAGGAGGTATGGCAGAGTATTTTGAATGTGGAAGTGGTTCAGGTTCAGGTGTTTGACAGTTGAAAGTTGTTTCATTGTGTTATTCAGATTACTAGTATTATTATGTGCTGTTCAGACTACTAAGATTGCTGGCTTTACTAAGTATTATTTGAAATACTAGTATTACTGGTATTACTTAGTGTTATTTGGACGCAAATATAATAGTGAGAGTATTTATGTTTAGTATATAGAATCGATATATTTCATGGTTATTATCAATTCTTAGACTATTTACTGAATAAATACTTATATTAAGACTATTTTTGATGATTATTTTACTAGTTTAAGAAAAACCTATTTGATTTTCCAAAAAACCTCTTAACTTACATTGTTAGTGTATGAATGGTTAGTCCATAGTAAGGAAAATCTAAAAAATACGTATTCCTAGCAAGTTATTATTCAAAACGTCTTCTGTAAGGATAATAATAGGGTAAAAGCATTGGTTTACTAGAAAAAATCTCATTTTCTAATGGTTTTACTAGATAAACTTGAAATTTGCCGAAATATTACTATGTGCAAGGTAGTATTACTAAGTCCTTGAAGATTACTAAGAATTACTATGTGTAACCCAAATATTATTTTTATGTATATAACGGCTGCACGTTTTACATGTTTAACATGTGTATTTTAAATTATTATTTAACTCACGTTTAACGTGTATTTTACATGAACAATTTTTTGACAAGTGTTTTTTTAGCCTTACTAAACCTAGTAGTAAAACCAATTATCCAATTAACTCGTTTTTGGACATAAGTTTACTTGTAAATAGAGTTATCCATACCTGTTTTCCAACACATACCAACTACTTTACTTAGGTTTCTAACAAGTAACATCCATGAGTAGAAACATTATATCCAAAAAGTATACAAAATACTTAAATAACACATAACAAGCTTAGGCATTTGTTTTACGCTTCTTCTTTCGCCCTTCAAGCTCATCAGTCTTTCCCTTCGTGAAAGGAGACTGCACCCACTGTGATGGTTCACCTTTTATTTTCGGCAGCGGCGTACATGGCTTCAATATAGCATCAGTCTTCCTTGGCCTGCCCCTCTTCTTAGCCTTGGGCTTGCCATGTATCATAGGCGTTGCTGCTTCTTTGCTCTCCTCGTTTCCTCTGTAAACAATCATGTACCAGCTTTGCTTTTCTTCTTCGGTGTATTTGTCTGCATTTTCCTCTGGCCTTGCTTCTTCTTCCTCGGTTGTTTTTTCAGGTTCTTCAACCAAATCCTTAGCAATCTCTTCTAGTTTTTCTACTTCTTCCTCCACCATATTTTCAGAATGTTCTTCAGCAAAATTTTCCTCAGTTTTTTCCTCTTTTTCCTCCTCTTCCTCCACCTTCTTTTCAGCATGTTTTTCAGTAGGACTTTCCTCAGCTTTTTCCTCCTCTTCCTCCACATCTTGTTCCTCATCAGCTTCAACTGACTTCTCAGCTTGCTCAACCTTTTTTTCAGTCTCAATAGCTTCTGTTTCCACAGCTTTCTCTGATTCAATGGTTATTTTCTCTGCTTCCATAGCAGTCTTCACAGCTTTCTCCTCACCATTTCTTTTTGGTGGTGTTATCCACTCCTCTGATGTAATTGAAACTTGTCTCCTCGCGGCTGCTGCTTTAGTCCTACCATATGGTGATACGGGAGTTTTTTTCCCTGCTTCCATAGCAATCTCCTCACCTTTCTGAGTCTCTTTCTTCTTCACCACATCTTTACCACTGGCCTCATTACTGTCCTCAATACTCCTCCAGAATGCATCCGCCTCTTCTCTCCTTTTCTCAGCTTCTTGCTCAGTTTCAGACCTGATTTCATCGTCTCCATCATCATCCTCTTGCTCATCATTTTTTTCCTCATCATTTTTACTCTTTTCCTTGTTTTCCTCAGCCTCGTTCTCCTTCTCTTCTTCTCTTCATTCAGTCCCTTTCTCCCCATCAACTTGCTCATCATTTTCCGCCTAATCAGTCCCTTTCTCCCCATCAACCTGCTCTTCCTCTACTTCAGCATCATGTTGTTCATACCCTTTAGCTCTACCATAATCCATATTTTCACCATAATTGT